GGGGGGGGGGGGCACATGTCCCCCTATGCCTCCCCCAGGGGGTGTGCTCAGTGGTAGGGAGCCATCCCTCTGCATCCCCTGGATGAGCCTCCTGTGGCTCCATCCCACTCTACCCTGGCATCAAGTCCCATGCACCGTCCTGGCTGGGCAGCGCCCGCAGCCCCTGCCCCTTACAGATCAAGATCTTCCCCCCTCCCCTGCACTGCTTCCCCTCTGTAGACTTATCTGCAGGGAGCTGCTCTTCATGCTGATCAGCTGTATTCCTGGCCATGTGCGTGGCTGTGCACGTGCACATGGCGCCCCCTGTGCCTTGCTCTCGGCAGCACAAGTAGGACCCCTTTCAGGCTAGAATGCTGCCTGCCTGCAAGGGGAAACCTGCCATGTCCCAAGGGGTCCCAGCACTGCAGGAGAGAGGGAACCCAGGTGTCCAGGGCCCTGGCCAGAAGACATAATTATTGGTAAACATTATTGGCTACAACAGCCAAAAAAAAGCCGATAATATCATTTTCCCTTTTATTGGTGCCAGTACAATAGGCAACCAATATATCCATGCACCTCTAATTATAAAATCTAGTACTACATAATATATAGTACATTTATAATACCCTTGAGCAGGAATCTAGTTTCCCTTTGGGAGGGGCAAGAGAACTGCCAGGTTCGAAAAAGTCTTTGGAAAATGCCTGTCCCAAATTTGGGGTAAGAGAAAGGTACATGAGCCATCCCGTAATGTAAATTTAAGTCTTTATGTAAAAAAATATATATAAAAAAATCAGGTACTAGGAGTTATGAGGCAAGCCTATAGAAAACTTTGATGCAAAATTGTGTTCTGGGGTTTGCAGACAGCTGCTGAATGAGACAACTGATCAGCTTCATTGTGGCTGTGCTGAATGTTGTGGGCAGGTGTGAAACCAGCAATAAATGTGTTCTATGTAATGCTGCTTAGAAACAAGCTATGTGATCTACAGGGACAGATAGGGCTATCCGTTTAAACAAAAAAAGTTTTTCTGCTCCCCAGGATATATGTTTCTCTCCTCCAGCCTCCTTTTGGCATATGGGATGTTGTCAGGGGAAACTTCCAGAAATCAGTGGAGTGTGTAGGATGCTTGACACTTCAGACCTCTGCAGCCCAAAAATGAATGTGAAAATGGCTTCCACAAATTAAGCCCAGGGTCTTTTGGGTAGCAATGCACCATTCATTCAAAGTAGCGTGTTACCCTCTTCGTCTCATGTTTTGGTCTCTGTTGACTAAAACTTTGTTTCCCCTAAGACCTTCAAAATAGAAAGGTCTAAAGTTTCAGTAGAGTAAATGATTGTTGCAAGATTGTCACTTCTGAAGTCTTAAAAAAGCAGTTTGGTTACTTCATTGCAAGGAAGAACTGTTTTGAATTGTAAAATTGAATGTTGAGTATTTGCAGATGTTGAAGTCTCTCGAGACTTAATTGGAAGAGAGTGAAACTTTTGGGTTAGCTTTGCTGGATATGCTTTGTTTAGCCATAGTGTTAACGTTAACTAATAAAAGTAGTTAATTTCTAATGAAGCCCTAATTTTAAACCAGCTATAATATTGTTGCTCAGTTACCTAAGAAAATATTGGAAGCATGGCAAAAACACAATTTTTCATTCAGGAAAACTGTTCAAACTCTGAGTATCCATGGATTTCTAAAAAAAACCCAGAAACACCTTGAAATGACACGGCAGTTTGCATATATTGCTCTGTGAAACTTGAACAAACAAGCAGAAAAATAACAGCATAGGTGAAAAGTATATTCAGGTGCTCCTCTGCTCTGAAAAGTGACATGCAACTTGCACCTTCTTGCAGTTCTGCATATGCTCAGGTATTACTGCTTGGCGTGTTGACTGATGCAGTTATTACATTGAGATCTGCAGCACCAGCCAAGGTGTTTGACAGGACTTGGGTTCATCAACAGATTTAAGCATCCATAGCAGGGCATGGTTCCGCCCTCCACTACCTGTTACATTCTTTGTAAGGCAGTGTCACTGCACAAGGGATTAGGATTTGGAAAAAGGCACCCAGTGCCTGTTAGAGAGGATGTTACCCACTAGCTAGAGGTAGATATGAATGACAAAGGGAGAAGTGGGGCCAGTAAGAATAGTTAGGATGAGAATCTAAACTTCTTTGCCATCTTTCCTGGTACTTCTGCTAGAATACTACCCCTGGATGCTGCATGGGGCTCTTGTAGTAGCTGTGGCTAGGAGGAGTCTCTTATTTGAAGCCAGCTGTCTCTACGTGTGGAAACAACTGTTCCTCTTCATCAAGGGAAGGTGAGGTTTCTACTTCTCTGTTCTGCCCCAGCTTCCATTTTTTGACTGTTCACCCTTGAATAACTCTTGAGCCTATGGTTATTTTAGTTTTCCTAAGCAGCAGCAACATAAACTGGAAATGCTTAAGTTTCATTCCTCCTCTTATGGTTCTAAATATCAGGGTGAGAATTGTTAACTTTTTACTACTGCTGCTTGGCCAATATGTGAGCAGCAGCACAGGCACTAGAGGTGTCTGGAGACTGAAGATGGTGATACTACATCAGCTCACTCTGGAAAGCTTTTTTTTTTTTTTTTTTTTTTAATGATAGGTTTTTAAAGATGCTTTGAAAAAATCAGTGGATCTGTGGAAGGTGAAACCAAGGTCAAGCTTTTTGCCCTAGTGAATGGCTCTTTCAAGCTTTGATGACTGTTGCAGAAAACAGAGCCTGATTTGTTTCCTCCCTTGCCCCCCCAACCCCCAGATACCAGGTTGACTGAAGTACTTGCAGTTAAAAACCTCTTTTTCTTGTAAACAGAGTGCATCTCATGTGGAAGCCATTGAGACACGATAAACCTGGAACCCTGCTATGTAGTCACTTTTCAGAGTAGAACTGTACTTCAAATTAAAAACTTACTAAAAATAAGTGCAACTTTTTTTAAAACAGCTGTTCCCTGCTTGAGAGGTTAGGAAGGAAATGCAGAAGAGAGTATTCAGTTAATGAGCTTTTTCAGTGACATGTGGTAATACACTGCACTTTCTACCCACAAAGATGTTAGAATAGGAAGTAAACCCAGACTTGTCTTAGTGATCATTAGAAGCTCTTTTCATTGGAAGCTCAGAATCTGACCCGAAATCTAATGTAATGGTTTTAGACCTGGCTAGCTTAGTATTTTCTGACTTGATGATTGATGTTTGAGTCTGGGAATTTGGAGCATTATTGATTTGACCTCTTTTAAATTTCAGCAGCTTCTCAAGAGGCAGAGTGAGTTAGTAAGCAATGAAAAATATGTAAGTAATATATTTTACTAGCTAAACAGTTTAGGAATACATTTTTTTTGTACTTTTATATCTTCTTCCCAGCATAAGGAACGTGGACCATCTTTGCTTTTGGGGACTCTTCTTTCTATCTGTCTATCTCCTCTCCCCCCCTCTACCTTCTCCAAACTGTGGGCACAGTAGCAGCTGTACTTTCTCCTTCTTGTAGGTGTGCATTCTACTTGCTGATTGGTATCTCTGGCTGGGGATTTGGGATTATTTTTGTCTTGTATTACTTAGCAGGTTTGGGTGAATTCTGCAAATGGGAAGAAAATAAAATTCATAACTCGAAACTGGTGAACCTGTAGAAGTTATGTGCCATCGTTCTCTATAATAGATATTAAAGTTAAAGCACTGTGTCTTGGAAACATCAGATATTTGTGATACCTCCTGTCATACATAGGTTAATTAAGCAGCCTCGTGTCTGGATTATAGTGTTTGAGTACATGTAAACAAGAAAAATTATCAGCATAAGTAAGAATAAAAATTGCCTAGCATTCCTGTAATTACAGTTGCAAGTGCATGTCTGCCATTCTGGAAAGCTAGTACCAACTGAGTAACACAAGGTTTTGTGTCTTAGACCCTTCGCAGGTGTTACAGTCGAGTGAAAGAACATGGTGTTGGGAAAAGGAAAAGCAGTTACACATTTGAACAATTGGAACAGGTGTTTGGTCAGGGAGGATGGGACTCTCAGCCCTGCCAGCCCGTACTCATTAACAGCAGTGGCTTGTACCAGGAGCTGGAATCTGATGGCAGCACTATGGAGGAATATTCACAGGAGGATTGGGGAAACCACAGTCAGGATCTTCATTGCTACCAAACAGGAGAACAGGAGTTGGGTAAGAAATCAATTAATAGTCTTTTTGTGTTCTCTGGCATTGTCCTGGGAGCTGCTTTAGTACCATACTTCCTCTTTGGCTACTTCTGCCTTTTTGGGTAGAAACCTTTTAAGTGATCCTACAATATGAGGTCCCAAACAGGGACAGTAAATCAGAAGTGGGGAAAATCCGGTCTCTTACACTGTGCAGTTGTATAAGTTTAGAGTCCAACTTATATGCTGAACCTCAAAAGTAAGCCCTGGCTCTTGAAAAGTCTTAAAACACCTTCTTCCTGTAACTATAATTTGAGTACAGAAATGATCACTTGCTGGTTCTGTTATTAGACTTTACTTGTTAGAAATCTCTGCTTCCCATTCAGGTATCCTTATTTGTTGGCATTTTGGTGAGTTTTATTTAAAACATGTAAAGGTGCATGTAAATTTGGAGCTGTTCCTCCCAAGGTGTTAGTGTGGTACTTGACCACTTCAATCCTGCTTAAAAGACAACTGGGGGAGGGAAATGGGATAATTGATTTGTATTGTCAATACCTATGATCACTTGGTGGTGTTGTTTTTAAAAAGCAAAGCAAAGCAAACACTTGTAGTTAAAGTAAAATTAGGCTTACGTCAATAGAATCAATATAAATTCAGGTAAGGACTTAAAACGATCAAACTAACATAATGGTTTACCAAGAAAATCACCACGTTTTGCCTTTACAAAAAATGTCTTCCCATTCTGTTGCCTAACCCTGATAAAAGATTACAGGAGGATCTGCTTTCTTAAGCTTATTTGCATTTTGAGTTATCCTTAGAAAAGCTGCCTATGGAAGCTCATAGCTATCAAGGTTGATTAACTTCCAAATGGAATTTCTTTGAAAATTAAGGATGTATTGAGAAGGATGGATACATAAAGACATAACTCTTGCTTTGTTTTCCATCTTTATTTGTCGGACAATTCAGGGTGGGGGGAAAGGACATGAATGTGCATCTTCCAATAACAGTGCCCAAGGGATGGGTACATTCTGACGTTGCACCAGTGGTGGAATAATTGTAATTTCATATGAAAATAGTAGCCCCCCCTTTATATTAACTGAATACTTCAAGTGTTTCAAAAACCAGTTGCAAAATGGTTGCCTATGCTCTGTAGGTGCAACAGTAGGAAGCTACATAGCAGGGGACACTAACAGTATTGTCAAATGTACCCATTGTTTACAGTTATGTAGAGAAATTATGATTCAGTAAATGATCATTACTTTGAAATTGCTTTTATTTCTGAAACACCCTTGTTATTTTTTAATACTCACTCACTCACTCACTCACTCTCTCTCTCTCTCTCTCTCTCTCTCTCTCTCTCTCTCTCTCTCTCTCTCTTCATATTTCACTTTGATTCATCGAGCAGTAGGGCGATTAGAAAATTAAATGTAGGGAGAATTGTGGGGGGGGGAAGTGGAAAGTTATTTCTGAAGAAGCAGAATCCTAATCCCAGATAAAGATGTTGATGACTCAAATTCTGGTCTTGGATTTTGTCACCGTTTTCTCTCAATAAAATTAGTTACATTTATAGGGAATTGGAGATGACAGTGGGTTTTTTTTATGTTCAGAGAACAGTTATGAAAAAAGTACTTGGGACATAGAATTCAAATGGAATGCATATGCATTTGTTCTGATGCTTGCACTTCAGATGTGCTCTTGAAAACAGAATGGTCTCTTTCAGAATGTAGCTTGCAGTTAAATCAGGTTCTGATTTAAGAACAGAAATTAATCTCATCCTTGAAGGAATTTGCATGTCTAGGGGCAGATTCTGTTCCCCAGGCTCAGTGATGTTCAGCCTTCCAGCCCTGCAGACCAGATGAGTCCCACAGCCAGAGTTGATCGGCAGGCCAGATCCTGTGTGGGAACAGCAAGTGGGGTTAATCCATGGGTGTGATCCAGCTGTGGAGTAACCCTGCATGATGGCACATAAGCAGGGGCCTGGTGGAAGTGTTAATTGCTGTGACTCTGAAAGCCATGGCAGTTAATACCTCCACCAAATTTCCAGACCCATGAGGAGCCCCATGGGCCAGAGGTAGAACAACACTGCCCTAGCGAAGCATATAGCTTAAAAATGTAGTTACAAAGATGTAGCTAATATAAAAGCTGTGGCATTCTTATGCATGTGATTTCCAGATTTCCTTGGAAAGTCCTGCTATATGAACAGTTTTATTGCATTTCAAAACCAAAAGCCTTGAGAACACTTTTAAAATATAATTTTCTGTTGGTACTTTACTTTTCAGACGAAATGCCTGCCACAAAAAGAACATTAAAGATAAAGCAGGAATCTTCAGAAGATGCACAGTAAGTAATTTATGAATGTTTCGCCATGGAAAGCATTTCCCTAGGGATGTTGCGCGGGAGGAAGATATTTGAAACTTCTGATAATAATTATAAATGCATTGTGCAAGACTTATGCAGTTGAATCTGCTCTCTACATTTTTCCAGTTACCTCTAAACATGTGGAAAGCTTCACAACTTTTGGCTTTGTTATACAGCAAATTAAACAGGACTTGCTACATGAGTGCAATGGTTTAAACTGTTTATAAATACATATCACAAACATTAGGGATGTGTGTGGGCAGCCCTAAAGGTATCATGGGGCAGGTCCAGACTTTTGGGTCTATTTTGCAATCTCTTTTTCTATCTGCCTGACACTTTGTTCCTTTTGGGCAAGTGGGGAAAAAATGTAAATGGTTATAATATCATAAAGGTATCTTTTTCTCTGACTGTAATTAGAGTAGCTTAAATTAGTATCCAGATATTGATATCAACATATTTGAGAACTACTAGAAAAATACCTCTACAGTAAAAGGAGAGTGGAGAAACAACTGGAAATGCCCCTTTCCTTTTCTTAAGTGAGCATACACACGTAAGTAATGTCTGTACAGGCAAAACAAATCCTGAAATGCCACAGTGAAGGACAGGTGAGCTGATTTTGTGTCCTGAGCAGTAACATTTTCTGCATCTTGTTAAAGATGACTTGTTACTTTTCTAAATTGGTTAAATCTGAAGAATAATAGAATTTTACAAGAGAAGACAGTTTGCTATCAACAATAGCTATAATAATTTCATGGAGGGGGGGGGTGTGTGAGTGTGTGTGTGTGTGGGG